TTTTTACACGGAACCAGGACACATGTTTATCATTTTCCTGATATCCCACTGATACCAGGGATACATTTTCTGATTCTAAGCTAAAGATCAAAGTCTTTGTCTGAGGCTGAGAACCAAAATGCAGCTTCTGCTTGCCTCAGAGAGACAAGGGAGGGAGAGCTCTGGGGGGAGATGCCAGTGGCTTTCAGAGGTGCCGCTGTGATGCACTGATCACCAAGACCAACCTGAGGAGTAGCCTTGGTAGCCCCTCACTCCTGCCCAGGTGGGATCTCACTTACACCACCACCTTCAGTGTGGAGACACCACCCACTTGGAGTCACTCATGGTAACGTGCTCCCGGTACAGAATGGAGTTCCAGTCTGCTGAGCTGCATTGGACCCTCCTTACACTCAAGCACATTCCCCACCTCCACCTGCCTCTGACCAACACAGTGGCCGTTGTTGCTGTGGTCACCAGACCTATATACAGTTATTCTATGAAGAACTATGCACTCCACAACCTTTACATAGGGGTTTTGTTCATTTTAGTAGCTGTTTACCTGCATTAGCTCTCTCTTACCACACAAGACCAATGTAAAGTGATTAAGACTTACCAGTGTAAAGTGATTAAATAAAGGGGGGGGGGGGAGGAAAAAACAAAAAAACCCACCACACAACAGTAAAATTACCAGCAGCCCAGAGAACTGTATCTTCATCTACTCACAAACCCCATAGCCTAGTCAATTAAAAAGGTAAAGTATAAGCCATTAAATTCCTGCATTGCTGATGTAATTTGCTATGTTTCATTATGCAGTGTATTATTTTATGTCCCCTCCATTAAGCCAAATAGATGTGACTCAGATCGTATCCCTGAAAAGTAACGTAATTCATCCCCAGTATGACTGAGATTAGATTCCAATTACAATCAGATATTAAGGATTAGCCATGTAAATTTCAAGTTTTTTTCAGCTCCATAAATCCAGCAGAGAAGCAGAGGAAAGGTACTTTTTGGTGACATACTTTAGGCCTTTATTCAGAACATTTCAGCTTGCTTTGTACAGTTTTACATTTTGGTTGAAATATTGACTGCAGGTCACCTATAGCATTGATGGCTGCATCAGAAATTTTAAAATGACAGAATCGCCTGTTGACCTGGAGAATCCAACTTCCAGCTTCAATGTTGGAAAATGCTTTGTCACTGCACAGAAAGGAACATACTTCGATGGAACAGGCTTTGCCAAAGCAGGTATGAACAAAGCAGGCAAAGAATAGAGAAAGGAGATTCTGCTTTCAAAAAGTTCCAGTGCTACCTAAGTCCTGTTGGCTGGAGACAAAGTGAGATCAATACTTAAAAGTCTCATGGATCAGTTTTAGTTATCTTGCCTAAGGACAGACTATAGGACTACCTAGCAAGGTCTCACACTAAGCACAGCTGCCATAACTGTTAGTTACATGATTTCACAAGAAATGGAGTGCATTAGTAATGTTGAGTTAGTTACCTTGCACTACTGGCAACCCACCTTGTGTAATCATTAGGAATAATGCATAAAATGCTTTTCTTCATTTTATTACACTTCCTTTTTCTCTCCAAGTTGGTGCATACAAAGTGGGAACAGACCTGCTCGTGGAATTTGAATTCCGTACAACACGAATGAATGGTGTTCTCCTAGGAGTCAGCAGCCGGAAAATGGATGGGCTTGGCATCGAATTAGTAGATGGAAAAGTGAGTAGCAAAGCATTTTTGGTTTTATAAAGAGACTGATTTGAGAAAGCACAGGTAGTTTAAATGCAAGCTTACTAGCCCAATCTCAAGGTCTCAGTCGGTATCAGGGCTCTCCTTTATGCAGCACTTGCCACTTCCCATACATCAAGTGTCTTGCACTTCTACAAACCTATTTTAAAAGGTTCTGTAAAACTTGAGTTTCCTACAACTGCAACATCAGGACTTAAATTAGTGAGAATATTAAAAGTTTGGAGGAAAGGCTTTGTCATTAATAATGCTAGTTTCTTGTGTATATTTTTCATTTCAATCCGGAAATCCACTCGGTAGTCTATCACTATAAAGAGCTTGAGGGGGAATGAAACACCCCAAAACTAAGACAAAAACTAGAAAAAATTACAACCTATACAACAATTTTGCATATTTCTATGAGTGTTCATCTCAGTGATATAACCCAGGTCCCAGTGGGACAGAAATCAACTTACAGTGTTGTGTCAAATTAGAGCTTTAGTATATGCAGCCAGATCATGTTGACTTTAAATACGAAAAAACCCTCAAAGAGAATGGTAGAACTGTTTTGAGAACTAGCTGACTTCCATGTCACACTTTGCAGGTGATGTTTCATGTTGACAACGGTGCAGGCCGGTTCTCTGCTATCTACGAGCCCGATGCACCAGGCAGCTTGTGTGATGGACGGTGGCACAAGGTCGTTGCAAACAAGATCAAACACCATTTAGAGCTGACTGTGGATGACAGACGGGTGGATGGTAGCAGCCCAAACAGGGCCTCGACCTCAGCAGACACTAACGACCCTGTCTTTGTCGGAGGATATCCTGGTAAGCATTTAATGTGCAAGTGATGCTTTACTTATGCTCTAGCAACATTGGCTTGATAAGTATCCTTCCAGTATCTTAGGGGGGCCTACAAGAAAGATGGGGAGGGACTTTTTAGGCTATCGGGTAACGACAGGGCTAGGGGGAATGGGGCAAAGCTGGAAGTGGGCAGATTCAGGCTGGATGTGAGGAAGAAGTTCTTCCCCATGAGAGTGGTGAGACCCTGGAATGGGTTGCCCAGGGAGGTGGCTGAGGCCCCATCCCTGGGGGTTTTTAAGATGAGGCTCTGGGCAGCCTGATTAGTGTGAGGTGTCTCTGCTCATGGCAAAGGAGTTGGAACTGGGTGATCCTTGTGGTCCCTTCCAACCCTGACAGATTCTGATCTGTTTTAGCAGAGGACTTTGGAGCCTAATGGCTCAATGGTTGGACTTGATGACCTTAAACGTCTCTTCCAACCTAAAGGATTCTATGATTCTATAATGTCTTAAATGCCATTAGGACTAGGATGCTAAAGGTGATGGGGAAGACTGTCCACATTTGTATTAGTTGGCACGGATTCTTTTTTCTGCATCCATCTCCATCTCGGAACAGGAAGTTCTGCAGCACTAAGAGACACTCACAGATTCCCCATTTCAAATCTAGGTACTATCCCAGAGGACCAGGCAGACTTTCTGCTTCCTTCCCCCCCATACAGCCTCCCTCTTAAAACTTTCTGATTAGTAACAGCCTAATAGTTATGTTCCAATAGTAACAGCATTTGGCAAACTTTAGTTAAATTTATATTCTTAAATTAAATTTAAGAATGCATGCCTCTGGGGCCCTGGGCACTGTGTGTGTAAATCAGCCTGTAAAATCTGAGGAATGTGGACAACAGTTTGCACAGAGAGGTGACAGGACACTATCTCTTTCTGATTAATTTCCTTGCTCTTGGTCTGGTGGTTTATAAAGCAGAAAAAAAAAAAAAATTCTCTTTGCTACTCTGTATTCTGGAAGCCCTTAAGAGAGCTTGCTTCATGTAGAGGTAATTGAAGAGAATCCAGAACTGGGCTGAGCTCTGTAGCTAGCTTCATCTTCCACTCTGCTGATAACAAATGCTAGCATTCATTTGTTCATAGACAATCAACAGGTTTATCTAATAGCAGCTTACTTTCTGAAAATACAGTTAAGATGCTTGTAAAGTGCCAATTTTGTTTCATTTATAATAAAATTTCCCTCTAGTTTGCAAACAAAAACACTAAGTATGTTTGCAGCATGTGCCTGTGTAGTGCACACTGAGGTAAATGTCAAGATGCCTCTTAAGTTAGTTCCTGAATTATTTTCTGTGAGTTTTTTTCCCTTCATTCTAATGTGTGATACAGGACATGCAAAAACCACTGCTCTTTCAAACTTCAGAACATTTTAAAAAATGTTCTTGATACTGAGATATGAGAGTTGTGCTTCAGTCATAGTGACTGTCAATAAGGACCAGCAACTTCGCAGAAGAAGGAAGACAGCTTTGTGGCAACCTTTTTATAACAAAACAGGATTCTTGCACAGGAGCTAGCACTGAAGAAACACTGCAAGTGGAGTCACTATCTCACAATCTGGACAGTACATCAAGAACATAGGAAGAGAAACAAAGGGAAGTAACACTGCAATTTGTACAAAACAAGCCTACACTTGCATCATGTTGAAGTGATATTCCTGGGTTCAGACACACGGCGAGTTATAAAATGATTTCATAAACTTACATGAACATATAAACACCTCAGACTTCTCTTGCTGTCTAGTCTAGCTCATCCAAGATTTGCTTTAAAATTCCCAATACCTAGACAGCCTCATCACAAATTTAAAACACAGTATAATGGGATTTTGTAAAATCAGTAAGCGTTTGTATTTTCCAGTCATCTTGTGGCTTCTTCTGGCTGCACAAGCAGTACAAAACAGTTGTAAACCAGTGAGAATTAGCTGGTGGATAATTTCCTGTGCAGAGAAACTTTTCACCACCTGTGTGTAGGCAAGGATATAAATTCCTGGCTACGCATAAAAGCCATTGCTCACCTCCTGTTATCCCTCTTCCCTGTGCAAGGAAGGACAGACATATTCAGCCCTCTCATCCTGTCAAGCAGTATAATGCCATGGCTAGTCAGTCCTCTACAGGTGTAAGGTTATTTCTGCAACCCTTTATCAGTCACAAAGATTTGTATCAGAGTACATCCCTGTAGCCACTTTTTCACTTGGCAGAACACAGAAACAAGTTGGGCCATGAATTTCAAGCAGCTGAGAGAAATATTTCCAGCTTCTTAGTCAAAGCAGCCCTTGGTCCTACCCTCTCCTTCCTTAGCGGAAGAAATGTATTTAGCTCCCTGGCTTTACCATCAGCAAGAAAAAAAATCAGAATGCTTAAAAACTCTCAAAACCTTTCCTTAAATGACACCTGAAGTCTGTACTGAGGAACTGGCTTTGTCATGATGTTAGGGCTGAGAATTACATTTGTTTTGGCCTTTTTTTTTCCTCTTTCATTCTGTGAATAAATAGCTTGAGAAGGTGGTGATCTGCATATATGCATCATATACCATTTCCAGGTAGCAAACTGCCATTTGGCCATTTTCCTTAATTTTCTCTATATCATGTAACAGAGTTACATGGTTTACATTGGCAGTTTACATGTGTTCAGATTCTGCCACTGTCATGCTAGGACAGAAAAAAGAAATAAAATGGGATTGTTACTGCTAACATTTATCACATTCACTCAATATTTGTGATTGTTCTAGTAAAGATATAGAGTAAATAAAACATATTAATATATTGCTAGGGACATCTGTTGTCCTGCGTGACTGTCAAAGAACAAACCAAAGTACCAACTCAAACTAACATAATACGTTTTGCCTTTTTTCCCTCTCCTTCAGATGGTGTGACACAGTTTGGGCTGACCACTAATATCCCTTTTAAAGGATGTATTCGATTTCTGAAGCTCACCAAGGGTACTGCTAAACCACAAGAGATTAACTTCAGCAAAGCTTTGGAGCTGAAGGGTGTTCAACCATTGTCATGTCCTACAAACTAACTGACGTTCAGCTGATATGGGTCTGTTTATATAAGCACCTCAGAATAAAAAAGTAAAAATATCAATATATACATTGCATTCATAATAAAATGCCTTTTTGCAAGTATTTGAGTAGTGCTGGTGGTATATTCAAGTGGCTATTTCAAGGTACCTCCCATGAACTAATCCTTTTCCCCCACCCTCTTCATTAAGGGAGTAGAGCAATAATTTTTATCTATCTCCTTCCTTATAGCTTGAAATAGAAATGTTTCACTGATCATCTGAGTGAGACAACTTATTATGCAGGGTATTCCTTTACTGTGGAACTTAGGATCATAGAATTTATATCAAGTTGGAAGGGATCCATAAGGATCATCAAGTCCAAGTCCCTGATATGCTCCTTAAATGCTTTTGGTGAGATAGATCTGTAAACTTGTGTTCCTTTACCATTCTAAATACAATGCGTTCGTGTGCATGCACAGCTCTGTCCTTCATTAGAAACTGACCTATTACCATGCTATAAAAAAAGTTTGCTTTGATCACTCCCAAGAGGTTTTGGAAAGTTCTTACGACCATAATATTTCCTATGAAAATTTCACTGAGAAATTCAAAATTTTATGTAGTCTACATGGCTGCTGTCATGCTACAGCATGGAAACAAGTGCAGGGAACAAAAATCTTACTGCTTCCTCAATTTATTTGGGACTACTGAAGAAAATATGTTGCACCTAAAATTCTTGCTATATCATTTGAACAGCACTGGATTTTAACAGATATTGTGGTGTTTGATGTTGGGAGATGTAGCCTCTAATGGAAGGTGTAGAACCAGATTCTATCACTCACCTGGAAATACTGTTTTAAGTGATCCTTAATAAATAAAGTTGATACTGAACCCCTTTCCAATTACACATGATACTGAAGTTACATATAGCAAAATTCACAAGCCAAGTTCCTAAAGGTATTTGAAATCTGACAATACTGCATTAGAGCAGAATGGTTGTGAAGCAGGAGAATCCCAGATATTGGCACAGCACAGGTCACTATTCTCTACTGTCATCTGTTTAATCAAATCCATAACATAAAAGCAGCTTCCAGAGTTAGACTCTACTCCTTCTGCTTGGTGCTGTCAGTTTGTGAGGAATTCTGAATGCAGATGATCTTCCTTAAATAAAACAGATGACTAATAGGTGGGGAGAGGAAAGCTGCTCCCTAGATTCTCACTAAAATGCCAAATCCTTGTGATTTTCCTCAGTGCTTTATCTGTTTTAGAGGACTAGGAAATCATCACCGAAGTGCGGATTATCTTTTCTATGGATTGTTTCAAATTGTTAAACACTACTTGTTGAAAAGGTTGTGTTTAGACACACAGAATGTGTACTGTACAAATGTAAAAACAACAACTTACACAAAAGAGAAAAACATTTTAAAAAAGTGCCTAGCAGTAAGGTAGCGTAGCCAAACAATTAAAGGAAAAGGGGGGTTAATTTTTTTTTCATTTTCTGTCCACAGTGAGCCTTGGACACAGTTTTTCGGGATTTCTGACATTACCAAAAAAAAAAGGCTAGCTGCAGAATTTGTGCTGCCAGAGAACACTCCTTCAGAAGTGTTTTGTGTTTTCCCACAAACCTCCTTGGCATACAATGTTTCTCTAAACTGCCATAGGAAAAAAAAAAAGCAAACACCTTTACACTGGGAAACTACATTAAAAAGACGGTAATAAATATGTATATTTCCACTCTATAACAATTTGAGGAGTCTAACAATGATCAGATACACCTAAAGAAAAATATCTAGCTGCAGTGGAGCCCTGAACTGATTGACTTCAACAAGTCTGCTCATTTTCACATGCATCTGCCCCTTTAATATTAACAATTAATGACTGTGCAATGCTACCCACATTCAAAATGCTAAGTATTAGTAAAGCATGCATTTGTCTCTGAAAAAGCCTAATTATGGGACACGTGCTGTCTTACTATAATGTCTACATTCTAGTGCTACTAACAAACAGCCCATTACACCCACAGACATTACCTAGTTTAGAGACTGTTTCCCAGCCTATAGGTTCTATTCAGTATGTTGGATTCTTTTTTAGCCCAAGCTTCTTTGCAAAGGGTTTGGCTGGGGGTGGGGTGGGGGTGTGTGAGGGGGGTGTTTGGGGGCTGGACTTAAAGACACTAGGGAGATTCAAACAGTGAAGCCCAGAGCACCATGAATTAATACCATGCCTTGCCTCAGAGGCAGGAAATCACCACTGCTCTGATCAGCACTGCATAAGCAATGGTCTTTCACATAAAGATGTCTTTGCCTTCAAAACAAATGCTGGAGTTTCTGCATAAAAGAAATGGACAGGGGGGGGAAAAAAAAAAAGAGAGAGGCCTTTATGTTCTTTGCTCTGTTGAATTATTTCCCCCTTGCATGGCCTTGCAGGAATGTGTGGGACAGAGCAAAAACAATGAAACAATACACATTATTACATTTCTTGAACTTTAGGGTGGAAAAAATCAACCAGCTGCTGTCCTCTGCTAAAGGAAATAAATTCAGTGGGCTGAAACAACAGCTACTTCAGCAAAGAGCCAAGCCAAAAGGAAGCAGAAAAACCTGCCTAATTTGCTTTCATAGATCAGCGAGTGGATGCACCAAGTACTGTTAGTAAAGCTTTTTGCCTTTGAAGCTTTAGCAGAGCATCTGGGAATGATCCCAGCTCTCTGTTATTACCTCTTCCCATCCAACAGATTCATAGATTGGTAGACTCCAGATAAAGACTAAAATTGCCTGAAACTAGCAGGTTGTGAGCCTCGGAGCCATACACAAAATGCTAGAGATTACATCACTGCTGACTGTGTGCCAGAAGCAATGTAATATCTTCCCAGTTCAAGACTGCAAACCAATACACATCTACAGAACACAAGTATTTAAACCCTGATTTTGTTGGATCTTTTGTGTATAGAAGTTTTTGCTGCCTTTCTTTTTCCCCCACGCACATTAAATACTCTTTACTGCTAAACTTAATGTAAAAACTTCACATGCAGGTGTTTTCAAAATTGCTTATAAGATTGACCAAGTTGACTGAGGTCACTTTTAGGCATTTATGAAGAACATTCACTCTAAGGGAACAAATCCCTCATCATCTCTAGCTTTAGGCAAATTGCTATGTATGAAAAAAAAAAAAAAAAGTAGTTTTTAAGTACAACCAGTTTTCAACTCAGACTGTTAGTATTCTTTCTACCCAATCATGCTTTCATCCCTTTATACAAGTTTATAAAGGCAAAAGACATTGCTGGCTTAGTATTTTTCTTAAAAATGCACATGAAAAACTTAAAATGCTTAAAAAAATCCAAGCCATTTTCCCTGTCTCTATTTTAATATAAAAACCACCATCGATGCCAATTCCAGCCTTCCCTTGTTCAGTTATGGGCTTCTGGGAGGTGTCAGATGTCTGCTGAGGGGCTTCTCAGTACGTGCAAGTAAAATTTTTCACTGGTCTGTTTCTGACCAAGAAGAAAAGTGTATGCCATATCTTTCATGAGAAGGCATCAACTGAAGGACCCACAAAAGATTCCTGTCCTCACATACACATCAGTTTCTTATACCTACAAAGGAGACCTCACAGTTTTCAGTTGTCTAAGGTTTTGTGAAAAGCTATAAAACTCTCCTGAAAACATCATATGCAATGAAAAATGTTATTTTCAAAGCCATTTAATTAGATACTGTAGCCAAAACCTAAATTTTTAACCTAAAATACTGTTTTTCTTTACATCATCTGCATTTCTTAATGACAAAACCCTACCAGTTCTTCATTCGCCCACCAAGTCTTACAGTCTTAAATATAAGCTGAACTGATGGTGTAAATATGGAGGAAGAAACATCATTTTCACTGTTCCTTGTTTCATAAACAGACACAAAACCATTCAGACTTTCCTCCAAAATAATTCCTTAAATATATTGCTGATGTATCATGCAATGAAATTGAAACAAACCCTCAAATTATTCAGTCTATATATTTCTAAGCTGTTATTCTTCATATTCAAGAGTACAAGTAATTTCATCTGGTACCTGAAGTCCCAGATAATTCCTGATATGATGCATCTCTTTCAGCTCAAAAAAACCCTTTCAATTTCAAGTTTAGTCAACAACATAGCATAAAATGACAGCATGTCAGAAACTAAATTATCTAGTTTAAGCAAAGAAAGAAAATCCTACAGAAAAATCTCCAATAGGCAGTGCTCTCATACACTTTTCATGTTCCCCTTGAGACCAACATCAGAACCTTAAGGCCAAATCTCACACAGTCTCAATTTTCACTTGGCTATGGCATAACATATTTTCAAGACAACAGCACAAAACTTTCCTAATGCTAGAGTCACCTCCTTACTCCCTTCTTTTTCAAAAGGATGTTTAAGTACAAAATTAAACCAATGCCTTCTGTTTGCCTCGTCTTTATCTAACACTAATAACAATAATAATGAAAGTGTCTAGAATTTCAAGGACTTTTATGATATACAGTATTATGAAATATTCTGCAAAGCTGAATAATCTGCTGTGACATCTTCCCTTTTAATTATAATTTATTTTGACAACTTCGGTACTTCTAGTTGGCATGAGCAAAAGGATGACTGGCAGTTGAGGCCCTTGAGTAGCTAAATTTCCTATGGTTTTCTTTAGTATGATTCTGTACTGCAATATAACATGAATTTGATTTAAAAAGCCAAAGGCCTCAATCTTTCACTGAGTTTCATGTCAACAGAATGGTTCCGTGGAGAGGGAAAACTGCCCATGTGTGCGCCCATTCTTCTGCACTGAGGGAATGCAGCACATAGAGTGACATACGCTCCCCCACCTCTCAGGGGCATAAGTTTGGTGGAATTGTTTTGCCAATGACCAGGCCCAACAAAAATGATAGCCCCAGCAGGAAGGTGAACCAATATACAGACTGTATTGTATATAAAAACGTTATGATATGAATGACCGCCGGGGGTACAAACAGGTCAACAAGATCGTACATTATCAATGCCCCCCCCAACGATCCCCCAAAAGATGTGAC